AAACACACACACACAAAGACATGGAAACAGCCTAGTGCCCATCTCCCAGTTAGGGGAGACAGAAAATGCTACATAGCCACAGTGGATGCTCTTCAGCCATTAAAAAAAAAACAGATAAAACAGTTATTTGCAACAATATGCAGACTGCTTCATTTAGTGAGATAAGCCAGGCTCAGGAAGCTAAGAGCCACATGATCTCACTCACATATGGAATCTTTATACATATATATAATACTATATATATATATATATATAGTTTTGGTTTTTTTTTTTAATTTCATGTGCATTAGTGTTTTGCCTACATTATGTCTGTAAGGATGTTGGATCCTCCGGAACTGATGTTACAGACAGCTGTGAGCTGCCCTGTGGAAAAGCCCCCAGTGCTCTTAACTGGTGGGGCCTTTTCTCCAGCCCCCACATACGGAATCTTAAAAACTTGATCTTAGGGCTGGAGAGAAGGCTTAGCAGTTAAGGACACTGGCTGCTCTTGCAGAGGACCCAAGATCAGTTTCCAACCCCCACACGGCAGCTCACAACCACATGTATGTAACTGCAGTCCTGAGGGATCCAAAACCCTCTTCTGGCCTCCATGGGCACCGGGCAGGCATATGGTACAGAGACATACTTGGAGGCAAAACACCCATGTACGTAAAGTAAAAGAAAATGAAAAAAGTTGACCTCACAGAAGTTGTAAGCAGAGTAGTGGTAACCAGGGGCTGGAGAGGGTAGTGATGTGTGTGTGTGTGTGTGTGTGTGTGTGTGTGTGTGTGTGTGTGTAATTGGTCAGTGCTGCTAGGTTACAGTCAGCCAGAAACAAGTTCTGGTGTGCTGTGGCAAAGCTGACTACTGCCAGCAACGGTGTGCACTACACCTGCAAAACACAGCAGAAGAGATAGTGAAAGTTTTCACCACAGTGAAAAATGTTTAAAGAAATAGGTCTGTTTGGCCTAATTTGGTATCACATGAGACACCATAAATATGCACAATTTTTATGTTTTGTCTGTCAGCTGAAATAAGTGGTTTCTGTGAGTGTACGGAGATCACCATAGTTCAATTCTAGAATATTTTCATCTCTCCCCCCAGAAAAAATCCTGTGCATATTCTCATCACTTCCCACGCCACTTCCCATCACTTCCTGCTCCACTCCCTTGGTCATCTTCCCAGAATAGGAGGTGCAGACAGGAACCATCTTGACCTGGTAACTAGTGCCCTCTTTTCTGGCCCGGCTACACCTTGCTGCACTACCTTGCCTTGCCCTCTTTCCTCTCCCAGGCATGCACAGAATCCAGGTTCACTGGGAGAAAGCTTCAGGTCTTAGAAGTTAGGCAACACACAGCATGTTTGACCTTGCAGGGCCCAGGACTCCAGACTTTGTCTTGATTACAAAGAAAGCATGCCATTCACTCAGCCTCCACCCTAGAGAGAAAGCCCTCAGCGTGAGGATGCAAGGGTCTAAGGGACCTGGGGACCTGGGGACCTGCTCTTGTCTCTGAGCAGATTGGCAGGAGCTGATTTGTATCTTGCGTTGTGTAATTAGCAGAGGGAAAAGAGAACACTGAGAGAGAATGACCTCCAGATATATTGCACAAGACTCATGCAGGTCTCTCTGCAAGATCTGTCGATACTTGCTAGAATAGGATTAGAAAGGGCGAAATAGAAGGCAAGCCAAGGACTTACTTAGTTCCTACTGGAACTTGGCCCTTGGTGAAGTAGTCGTAAGACCCTTGGGAAGTCATGCCAGGCCTTTCCAGGGTGCACAGACATGAGCTGGCATGTGCGAAGCACCCTCCTAAGCCTGTTTTCCAGGTGCAATCTCCTGTTGGGACTGCCTGCTCTCAGGTTGGATCCATAGTCCATCCTTATGTTCTTTAATGTATGTGAGTGTTTTACATGCATGTGTTTATGTACAGCACGTATGTGTCTGGTGCTTATGGAGGTCAGGACAAGGAATTGGACCCCCTGGAACTGAAGCTACCAATGGCTGCGAGCCATCATGTAGACTCTGCAAGAACAAGTGCTCTTTCTTAATCACTGAGCTGCCTCTCCATCCCCTCTAGAGTCCTTTCTTCCTTGAACCCTTCTTGTGGTAAATTGGAATGTGGCTTGAGCTGAAGGTCCATTTTAGGACTTTGCTTTTGAAAAATTTTACATAATCTCTATGGTATGTTTATAGTGCTGAGGATAGAACCCAGGGCCTTGAACATACTAGACAACAACATTTCTGTCCATGAGCTAGACTCTCAGCCAGGGTAGTGCAATTTCATTTCTGCTACGTAGCCAAGGAGACTGATCATACCGAACCAAAATAGATTGAAAGAGTTGTGCATAGGGCTGGAGAGAAAACTCAGGGTTCAGGTGCATACTGTTCTTGCAGAGCGGACTGGGTAGATCAGTCCTCAGAATACTCTTCTGGCCTCAGTGGGCTCTGCACACGCTTCCAAAACACATACATACACATAATAAAAATATTTTCAAAGTCATGCGTCACCCCACTGAATGGCCTGCACAAAGGTCCCAGTGTGAGGGAGAGCATGAACGTGCTCCTCTAGACTTCATCTTTCAGCAGTGGAGGTCAGTACTTGTGTAATATCTCCGTCACATAACCCTGACAAAATCCATAATAGGTACAACTTAACTAGAGGGATCTCTGTTATGCCAAGAGCCCTAATGATTTTGGACTTGCAGTGCTTGTGTTGAAACAATGAATGAGCTGGGCTTGGTGGCACACGCCTTTAATCCCAGCACTTGGGAGGGAAGTGGAGACAGGAGGATCATCTGTGAGATTGAGGCCAGCCTGGTCTACATAGCAAGTTCCAGGAAAACTACACAGAAAGACCTTGTCTCAAAGAAAAGGAAAAGAGACAGCCACGGATAGGAGAATGTCTGTCATACAGTGACTGAGGGTAGCAGGTACAGAATGTGGGGACCAGGTAGTCCAACATAAACAGGTGTATGGTGAACAGATGAGGCAGGAATGCCATATATTACGGCACTCAGATGTCTGTGAGCCACCATGTTTGTGCTAGGAACCAAACTCAGGTCCTCTACAAGACCAAAAAGTGCTCTTAACTGCTGGGGTTTCTTTCCTGCCACGTCCATACATGTGTACGTGTACGTGTGTGTGTGTGTGTGTGTGTGTGTGTGTGTGTGTGTGTGTGTGTGTGTGTGTGTGTGTACACGTACATTTTTAATGACAGCATGTACTTCTGGATTTCTTAGAGACTTCATGTTCTTCAGAAGGTCAGAACAGATGTATACAGTGAGGAGGTGTCTGACATTCTGGTTACAGTAACTCCCTGTGGGTACAGGAAAACCTGCACGCCTTGATCTACCCAATGTGATTCTTAAGTGTAAGGTCTCATGGAAATGAAAAGCATGGATGTAACTATAGTGCAAGAGAATGTTACATGAGGAACCAATTCTGCTTTTCTGATAACTCACAAATCCCCCTCTCTTTCCATTGTCACTACTCTCATATCTGCAGTTCTCAAGACTGTCTCAATAATATGGATTAATTTTTTTATTGTTGTTTTGAAAATTTAAATTATGGGTATGTGTGCATGCGCCTAAGAACGTTGCCTGCTGAGGCCAGAAATGAGCATCAGATCTCCTGAAGATGAAGTTAGGCAGTTGTGAGCTGCCCAGCATGGGTGCTGGGAACTGAACTCAGGTCCTCTGTGTCCTTAACCAGTGAGTCATCTTCTCAGCTCCTGGTTGAAGTTTCTAATGTGGAAAGCATTGACTGGCCTCCACCTGTAGTTGATACTGCCAAGCCATTGCCTTGGAAGAATCCTTTCTGGGATCTCAAACCCCTCAGGTTTCCCCTGCCAAAGGCTCTCAGAGGGCTATGTCTACACAGAGAATCCATTTGGCTTCCTTGAACCCCGTCCTCCATTTTCTGAAGTGCTCCTTCCCATCAACTCAAGCACACAGTCTCTATACACACTCCTTTAACAATAAAGCCTGAATTTCCTGCTGGGGTGAGCCAGTTGCTTCCGAGGGAGCCCTCCAGCCAGATCTGCCTTCAAGCATCACCTTCCCTGTATTCCTGGCTCAGTCCAGGTCACACAGTACCCAGCAGATTGGCTCTAGGCTTTCCCAGCCACTGATGTAAACGCAGCCTTCCTTCTGTGTTCTGCCTTCCCATTGTTGGCACCATTGCCTTCCCTGGGTTTTTTGTTGTTCGTGTTGTTTGTTTGTTTTAGTTTGGTTTGGTTTTTCAAGATAGGGTTTTTTTATGTAGCCTTGGCTGTCCTGGACTCACTTTATAGACCAGGCTGGCCTCGAACTCCCAGAGATCTGCCTGCCTCTGCTTCCCAGGTGCTGGGATTAAAGGCATTTGCCACCGGAACACTAATAAGGTCCCAGGCTGCAGAGGTGTCTTAACAGTTAAGAGCCCTTGTTCTTGCAGAGGACCGGGTTAGATTCCCAACAAGCACCCACATGGCAGCTTACAGCTCTCTGTGCCGCTAGCTCCAGAAAATCCAGCACCCTCATCCAGCCTCTGTGGGCACCAGGCACACAGACAGTAAACAGACATACATGTCTGCAGGCCAAACACTGAGAGCATAAATGTAAAATAAAAAGAAATAGTTTTTCAAGGAAATTAATAAGATCGCTTACTGTTTTAGCAGCATTTCTGGAGGAGGGGAGATAAATGGTCTGAGTTCAATCCATCGTGTAATTAGAAGTTTCCCTGGTTGGTATGAAGACAACAGTATGCTCCTGGAGGAGATGTCCTCTGTTGTACTGACTCAGTGGCAGCCACAAGCTAGAGCACAGGACAGGCTGAAGGCCTGGGGTTTCCTGCATCTCTTGACAGTATCCTTTTTTTTAATTTTTTTTAATGCAGGTAAAATACTGAGGGAGCCAATACTGGGGTGACCCAAAGGACAGGGGCCTCCTGGGATACAGGAAGCCCACCCTCAGCTAGGTACTGGCTCCTCCTTTTTTGTGACTCTTTCCCTTTGCTCACATCACCATCTGTTTCTTCTTTCCAGGATGATGAGAGCCTGAAGCACCTGACACATGAGGAAAAGGACGTCATTCTATTCTTTGAAGAGACTCTCGATTCCCTGGAATATGACTTTGACGAGCCAGCCCTCTGTGACAGTGGCATTCACTGCCACTCTCCACAGTCTCTGGAAGAGAGCCCTTCCAGTCACTCTGAGCCTGAAGATGTCATCGATTTAGTGCAGCCAGGACCTGCGTCTGGAGAAGCTGAGAGCCTTCCTGATGTGTCTCAAGTAACAGGTGAGCAGTAGCGCCCAGGTCCCCACACCTTTGACTTGGGTTGATGCTGTGCTCAGGCACATCCACGCTTCCTGCTCTGTGTACCTGTGCTCACTGTACAGATGCTCCAGCTTTCCAGCTTCTGGAAGGGAGAGTCACCGCTTGGTGGTCCTCCAGCCAGGGAACTCCAAAAGACAGAACAAAGAAGCCAGGCATGGCGGCGCACACCTTGATCCCGGCACTCAGAGAGGCAGAGGCAGGCCGGTCCCTGTGAGCTTGACGCCAGCCTGGTCTACAGTGAGGGTCCAGGACAGCTGAGGCTACACAGAGAAACCCGTCTTAGGGAAAAAAGAGAAAAAAGTAAAAGGACGGAATGAAGAAGACAGAAGACCAACTGGCAGGGGAAAAAAATGAGAGAAAAAAAAGACCAAATGAGAATACGTTTGGGGGGGGGGGGTAGGTATGAGGGAGCACTTGATTTGCTGCAAAACACTGCCATTTCTAACATACCGCTCTCTGAGGCAGTCCCGGAAAAGGCAGAGAAAGTAGGGTAGGTACTGGGCAGCATCAGAGAGATGTGCTTATGCCCACTCAATCATGGGGCAGAACAGGAAGGAAACGGTCAGGGAAAATGTTCTTATAGCTTTTATTTACTGGTGGGAAATGTTATTAAAGACAAATGAAGGGGGTGCATAGGACTAGACAGGAGAAGAAAGGAGAGAAAATACTGTGTTCCACAGTGTTTGTCATGAGCTGTTGGGGGGTGTCTTTCTTCTCTCTGTGCCTCCCCGGCTGCCCTGGACCTTGCTGGGGAGCCCAGCCTGGCCTCCAGCCCTCAGCCCTCTTGTCTCTGCCTCCCAAGTGCTGGGATTAGTGTATGCCGCCATTCTTAGGGTATGTATGTTTTCTTTTTGAAGCAAACTTCGCATTACTCAGAACCTGACATCCTGCAGTCATGGATTCCATATAAAAAGAGAGCATGGTTTGCAGCCAACCCCTGAGAGACAGAGAGAGAGAGAGGCTGAATTTTTGAATTTTTTATCACACTTCTACTTTGAAGCATAGTTTCTAAAGTTAAAGCTGATCATTTAAAAAGATTAGATCACATAATCACACCAAAGAAAATGGGTTTGGAAAACTCAGCACTTGGGCCCAGCAATTCTCTAACCTACCATTTTCATTGCTTTTTGTTTGCCTGTTTTTTTGAGACAAGATACCTTTATGTATCATTGCTGTCCTGGAACTCACTGTGTAGACCAGGCTGGCCTTGAACTCACAGAGATCCACCTTCCTTTACTTCCTGAGTGCTGGGATTCAAGGCGGCACCCCCATCCTCCACTCAGTGTCTCCATCACAAAGACGCCTGATGAGAGGGGCATTGCTCGCCTCCTGTCACATGCCCCCAAGGTGATGGAACCTCAGAAACATACCTTTCCAGGCTGCTTCCTAACTGGCTGTTCCACCTCCAGATCGTCACCACCCTGTCAGGAGTCTCTGGTTCTCCGAATATGGCCCTGAGAAAAATCAGACTGCCTTTTGTCTAGTCCATGCGGCCGGACCAGCATTTTGATTAGGCATTGTAGAGGTCAGCAGTGTGTCCCACTGTGGCTCTCTGGAGTCCTGGGGACAGGGACACCGCGCATCTACTTTCCCCGGGGCAAAAACTTACAAGGTCTCTCTTCTCCTTTCAGGGGCCCCATCTGTTACAAAACAGGACACTCCTGTTCTGGAAGGCGGGAAACAAGCCGCCGAGGATTCCCTGCAAGTACCAGACTCCAGGGATCCCGAGGTGTTTCCGCTGCCGCCCTCCCTGCCTGTCACTGTGCCCTCTGCCCCACGAAAGGAGCTGATGTCCCCCTCTCCTCCAGCAGAGCACCCCAAACTGCCCCGCTCCGTGCCCACTCCTCTGGTAATTGCTCAGAAAATTTCTGAGAAGTTGGCGGGAAATGAAGCCCTCTCCCCCACGTCCCCTTCGAAGGAGGGCAAGCCTGGAGAATGGAGGACACCGGCTTCTATAGCCTCTCGAAACGGGGACCATCTCGGCGTGTGGCACCGACACGCGGCCCAGCCGGCGCCCAAGGTCCACCGCTTCCCCAGCAACATCAGCGTGACCAACAGCGCGGGCAAGGACTTCAACAAGACCATCTCCAAGGCGGCCGTCAACGTGCAGGAGCGCAAGGCCCAGGTCCTGGCCAACATCAACGGCATGTCCTTCATCTCTGCGGGCGACACGTCGGCGGAAGAGCGGGGGCAGAAGGCGGAGGAGCAGAGGGACGGCCCTGCGGACGGGGCGCGAGCCCCGGGCAAGGTGGGCATGGCCGGCGAGCCCGGGGTGCCGCGTGCGGGAGGCCCGGCCAGGGCGCAGCAGTCCCGGGCAGTGCAGACGGAGCAGCCGCCGGCGCTGGCCAACGGCTTCCAGAGCGTGCACGAGGCCCTGCGCAGCGAGCCCAGTGCCTTCGCTCCCACCAGCAAGACCATCACCTTCCGGCCAGACCCCGCGGTGGCCGGCAAGCTGGCACGCCAGAACGCCAGCCGCAGCCTGTACGAGCCGCGCCCGGACGGCAACCAGGACGCCCGCAGGCGCACGGGCTCGCTCCCCCGCGCCGTGGGCTTCCGGCCGCAAGGCATCACGGTACAGTTCTCCGGCCGGGGCTCCAGCGAGGAAGCCCGGCGCGAGGCCCTGCGCAAGCTCGGGCTGCTGAAGGAGAACTTGTGAGGGTCACCGGTGGGACCGATCGGCTATGTCCACACGGGGTTGTCCCGTTCTGTAAGCGGAGGAGCCGGCTGGCACGAAGTGCTCCGCTTTTGGGGGAAGAAGACTCTGCTCCAACCTCTGTGCCCAATGCAGTGTGGAGTCAGAGGCCAGCAGGGCAAGGACCAGCCCCTCTCCCCCAGCTGTCCTCTTCCATTCCTGCGGTCCCGGAATAACGTTAGGGCCCGTGGGCTTCCGTGACTGCACATGTCCTGTGACTTAACCTTGGCTTGACTTGGTTCAGAATCTCTGATCTGGCCTTTCATCCCACGTGCAGGACTGGAAAGCCAGTGTAGCTCTCCAATGCTCAGGATTCCCTCACTTCGAGAATAAAAAGAGAGAGAGATGCTCGCTAAGTTTTCACAGTGTCGTCATACGCTTTGAGCTCTAGTTGTGTTTGTTCCTCAAGGGTGGGAGATGGTACCTTGCCGGTAGAGCTGGGTTTGTTTCTTGACGTTATTGTTTGCCCCATTTTCTTAACTGAAAATCTAAATTATTTTAGATTAAAAATAGAGTAAGACTTACCGTAATTTTGGATTGTGAGCGTGAACGATGAGGTGGAGTTTGGAGAAGGGAGCCTCATTTGCCTCTAAAATCTGCTCCTGGGGTGTGTGTATGCGTCTGTCGTGTAAATATATGTGTCTGTGCTAACATGCATGAGTATCGTGTCTGTGTATGCACATTCGTTAGCACTTGGAGTATCTACTTCAGACACCATTATCTAACTGAAGGATGTGAGCACTTTTCTCTCACAGACACCCCACCACTGTGATGTCACGCTAATTAATCCTTCCTATTATGGAAGTCGGCTCAGGACACACGAGCCCCTAGTACGTGTTTCTCAACAGTATGCTCTGTTCCCAATTAAAGTGAGATTTCCTGACTTCAAATAAGCAAGATAATTCTGGTTTTGGTTTTTGTTTTGTTTTGTTTTTAGAAGAACTAAAATCTTTGTCACCTCACCGGTTTTGTGTTGCAAGGTAGCTAGTCGACAGAAGGAGACAATCTGATTGGTTGTGTTCCGTGAGCAATGCCTCAGGTTGACTTGAAGGAGAAAACTGTGAACTCAGTTGTGCAGCATGAAGTTTCCTTTTCTTCCCCAGACTTTGTCTTACAGAGCTGTGGCCACAGTGTTATTATCAAAACCATTGAAGGCTGAAGTCTCAAACTTGGAAAAATAGATAGGAAGGGCTGGCCTGAGAGCCACACCCTTCTGCCTCTGGGTCCTCGGCAGCGCCCTAACGGAGCCCATTTCTGTTCCGGTTGAGTATTACTTGGACTGAGCGGTCGAAGGACATTTTCACGCTCCTCCGCTCAGCCAGTGAGTTACATACAATGAATGATTAGGCTCCGTTTCTTCGGAATTGTGGTCTAGCAACTCCGCCAGCTCTTGTTCTCCTGAAGTCATCTGGAACGGTTTTTTCATCTTAATTTAAAATGGGGGCTTTAAACTTTTAAAAATACTTTTAATTTTGCTCATACTTACGATTGATTTGCTGAAAGGAGCCAGGAGGTTGGAGGTCCCTTTTTGAGAAAGTAAGATGCCAATGCACAGTGTTTAATAATTGAAGGTCTCAATACAACTGTTACAAAAACCCTTTGTAGACAATTCTTTCTTTTTATTTCTTCTGTGATTTTATTGTGAGTAGAATGAGTTTGACTGAATATTAATATATTCTCACGATGACATTTTGAAAAACACATTTTTATCTTAACATCTTAACCTTTATTATTATATTACATTATATTATTACATTGCATCATTACATTATGTACAATATTATTTCCTTTTAAAGGGTTATATCTTTTTCTCCTATTTATTCATATTTTCTCTCCATTTAATCCATAATTATATCGACTGTACTTTAGTTGTTAATTATGTCCAAAGCCCTAATGAGTAAAGGCCAAATTTTGTGGATGATGAGGAACCTGCCTTGTGTCTGGTCTGCTGAAAAGCACTGGTTTCCTTACTGTAGTTACGTGATGTGACATTCTTAAATGATGTCTAGTTCCCAGTATTGAAGGATCATATTTCAAAGCAGGATTGTAATGAAAAGGAAAGGCGGATTCAGAGTTCCCAGTTTCTCTTCACTCGGCATTTATCTCTCCATTTTTAGGAAACTCTATCATACTATGGAAAAGTCAGAAAAACAAAACAATTTCTGTTGCTCTTAGGAACCTTCCTTCATACAGATGTCTCAGCTAGAGCCTTCCATGCCACAGCCCTCCCTCCCTAGCTTCCCTGGAGGGGAAGCATCTGCCTCAGTTCCCGTCTCCTCTCTACCAGATCTACCTAGTGTACGTGCTCATCCTCACAAAACAGGCAGAAGCTTTGATCTTTGCTCTCTTCCTCACTGCAAGGGAAACGCCACACAACAGGATGCTGCCACAGCAATGCTGAGGTCTCTGCCAAACACGGGGACTGAGCATGGATCCCTCAGCCATCAGAGGAGACAAAACAGGCAGGGCTACAGGAACAGACTTCTGACTGGAGGACTCTGCACACGCTGCTAGTGGGGAGCACGGTGGGACCACAGGGGAGATAGCTTTCATGATGAGCTCAGTGGAGTTAATCAGCAAGGCATATGGAACTCTAGTGTAAGGTCAAAGCAAACAAGTGCATTCTTTCCACATCCCCAGGGCTTTGACTCTGCGGATCTGACCTTTCCCAGGATTCAGTGGGGGCTTTTTTTTTTTTTTTTTTTTTTTTTTAATGCAGGTGATATCAGCTCTCTAACATGTATTAAAGAGGAAGAAAGAAAAGATAAATATGACAATTTACTCTTATCAAAAAATGTGTCTGCTCCACAGCTGTTTTTCTAGCCATGATACCTGTACAATGAAGGCATTGTTTCTCCCTGGCTACTTTCTCGATGTGACCTGGCAAGATTAATAAACTTATTTTTGCCCTAAAAAAACGCTCCCTGTGTTCTCAAGCTTCTGTCATCCAATAGTGGGGCTGTCTGGATGAGCAATAGCCTTGTTTCTCTGGGTCCCTTGTTCTTGCCCTGGTCTCCAGCCAAGGCTGCTGGATGGAAGGAGGAAGGGGAGGAGCCTGAATGTTCACCTGGAGAGGTTTCTGTTCTAGCTGAAGTGACAAGTCACCAAACAGGTTTTGTGTCTTCACAACAAGGCTTTCTCCCCCTGCCTTTAAAGTATGGGGACACATCCCATATCCTTTTCTAATCTACTAGTTGGACAAGCCCTGCTTTCAAGTACCTGAGAGAAGCCAGAGCTGTAAGCCTCTGTCCTGGGAACGGCGCAGCTCTTTGTGACTGAGTGTGAAATGGAGCCCCAGTCAGCATTTCAGTTCAGCCTCTGGCCTCCCACTCACCCCGTCCTGTCCTCGGCAGGTTCACCTGCCTTGTCTGGGCCTCAAGCTCTGGGGGTGGGGGAAGGAAGCAGCGCTGGGGACCCTGCCTCTGCTGGAGATGCCTAGAGCCATCACAGACTTCTCAGCGCACAAGGAATTAGGCTTCGTGGATGACGTGCTCTCAAAGGTACCCGGATTGAGAAAGATACAGCAAAAGTGCCCTTCAAAGTCCATGGGGACGGGTGCAGCGCTGTCTTAGCCCTGTGTGGGAGGTAGAGGCAGGCGGGTGAGTTCAAGGCCATTCTCAGCTAGTTTGTGGTCATCCTGAACTTTATGAGACCTCAGAAATGCCAGTCACCCCACTGACAGCAGGCTCTACACTCCTGGTGATTTCCAGGGGGTGAGGGGACAGCCACAACAGCTCCCAGGAACAGAAACTTTCTTTTGATCTTCCTCTGTGTCCTCTGAACTGCATGAACGTTCTGTTGTGCAACTATTAGAGGAGCACCATGAGATTTGCTGAAATGTCAGTGTGACCCACCAGGTATTCTCTAGCTGGGAGGAAGAGCTGCTCCCGTGTCATGTGTCTGGAAATTTCCTTTCAGGTCCCTGAGTGTTCGTGTCCTAGGTCTTCAATCAGACTCCACTGCTGTAGGGTGTCCTGGGATCTAGAGCAAGGCGGGTTAGAAGGGCTCTTCATGTATGCCTAATGTAGGTTCTCGATCCCAAGCCTACCTTAAAATCCTTAGAGCCCTCTATTTCCCCATTGGGGCCATACTTCTGAGCTTCTGGAGCATTTGGAAGGGGAACAAGCTATAGACAAGCCACTCTTAAGGTTTGGAGTTCCAGTTCTTCACTGTCAGCTGTGGAGGCAGGCTGTAACCTTCCCACTGAAGTCATGGGTGAGAATTCACAGTTGGAAGCTGAACCTAATGGAACCTAGTCACACAAATAGGTCACACTTCATAAACTCTAACTTCAGTGTGTGTGTGTGTGTGTGTGTGTGTGTGTGTGTGTGTGTGTGTGTGAAGGAAAGCTGCCTAGGGTACTAGCCAAAATTCTGGACATACTTTCAAAGGGTGAGGCTGAATGAACATGGGAGTTGGCTTGTGAGCCTGAGTGCGTGCGCACAAGCATCAGCGTGGATGTGCTCTCTCTCCTAGGGTGACCAGGCTGACTTCAGCCCTTGGCACTGCTGATTGTGCTCATTAGGGGAGTATATTGGCCTTGAGTGTTGCAACACACAGCTAGAGGTCTGACCTTGTACTAATGATGCCTTTGGGTCTCTGTAGCCTTTGGGAAATGACATAAGCCCTGGAACACCTAAAATCAGGTTGCTTGAGGTTGCTGTGACAGCAACTTACAAAGAGCTCTTCAGCGTCCATCTCATTCTATTGCCAACAGTTTCCTGATCCATGAAACTAGGTAGACTTTACCCTCCTCCTCCTCTTCTTGTTCTCTTGGTGTGTGAGCATTAGAGTTTGGGGAAGATGGCCTCTGCCTTGTGAGGCAGAATGAAGAAGGCCTTATGGAGCCTAAGATGACGTATTAATAATTTAAAGTGCCTTCTACCTGTCTCTTGCCTTATAAACTTAGCTATATTTTTTTACGTTTACATTAATATCAACTTCTAAAGCTTTTTGTAAGGTTATTTTTAAAGATATCACTTACGCTCGCTCTTCTATGAGCCTCTACCCTATGCCCTTGAGACAGGGTCTCTCACTGAACTTTGGAATTTACTGTTTCTCAGCAAGCCTCCCCCCACCCCCATCCCTCTGTCTCCTCCCACGACACCTACAGTCACATGTGACCATGTTTGACTTTTTATGTGTGTTCTGGGGTTCTGATCTCAGAGTAGCAAGTGCTCTCTCTCCAGCAAGCCACCATTGCCCACCTGCAGTCTCTGTCTCTGTCTCTCACTCGCTGCTGCTGCTGCTGCTGCTGCTACTGCTGTTCTGAGAAAGGGTCTCACCATACAACACAGGATGTCCTCAAACTCTCACTCTTCCGCCCTGAGCCTCCATCATGCTTGGATTACAGGCGTGTGCCACCATGCCTGAATTCTCAGTTCACCCTAAAAGAATAGAACTAAGCTGTGTGGTGTCAAACAGTTGAGACAGGGGCTCACTATGTAGCCTAGGCTGACCTCACATTCCTGATCCCCCTGCCTCAGTCTCTGCAGTAACTTGGGTTATGAGGATTCGTTGTCAGGCCCTA